GTAGAGTGGATAGTTGCATGTTTGCTGGTATGCTACTTCCAGTTTGTGTATCTCAAGATTTCCATGTGAACCTTATACCCGCGTTTGAGCGTTTGAGCAAGAGGGTGCCACATGTTGCTCTATCTGTGGTAGAAAGCGCTCAATCCTACGAAAATTTGGTAGAAAATTAGAGCCGGACAAATAAACAAGAAATAACACCAAGGGGAAATAACTGGTGTAATGTGTCCATCTCTCTTCGATCCGAGATGTTCTTATAACTCTACGACAGTAACAAAATACACATAGCTATAATGGATGATATCTGTCCCTACGTGTCATCGCCTGTACTCGTAACAGCAAAACAAAACTGGATATAGGTCTGGGAGGCCACGGTGCTGACGGTGGCTCAGCTCGCTAACCTGGGGATCCGGTGTTCAATCCCCCTTGTCAGTGGTGTAGCGAGGATGGGGCGCTTGGCAGGGGGAACGTATTTGGTCGTTAGAATGGAACCAAAAACTGCCCAAGTGCCGCACACGCATTGTACTGAACAACTCTTGGCAGCTGGAATTCGAAATAAGAGTAGGCTGTAGGGCGGCTGCCCGGGCACAGTGTCTCTCATATCCACACTACATGACGTATCCTCGTCTTCATTGGGCCAATCGGTGTAGACAAGGAGGATGGTAAACGCCATTTCCTTTCATTTTCGCTTAAAGTATGTGCTCACAGTAATGGAGGATGAACAACTTGTTCCTCTTATTAGAATATGATTTTACTTTTTCATTTGCGACTTGTTGCGATAGATTGATTTACTTGGTGTTGAACTCAGCTAACGGACTTGTTCCAGTTAACCTGTATGCATCTATATTATATCATGGTTGTTTCGTCCCTTCATCAAAAAGACCTAATGGGTTCAATTCCAGATTGAATTGCTTTTAATCATAGCGATACATAAAGTGAGACTGCAGATAATAAGCGGTGTCCAGCTTATTTCTACTCTCCCGTTTGATTAGGTACGGGTGAGCTGGTGTCTTTTTCAAGGATGGAGTCAATGGAGCGATCGTCGGTGTTTTGTGAATCACGCGATAATACTGCTTTTGTTTATGCACAGGTCCTTGATACTTGCCCGAATTCTTTCTAGTAAGAAAACCATAATCCATGTTCACGTAGATGATTGTTTTTCTTACTTACAGGCCGGAGATGTCCTCATATCATCGTTACTAGGTTCAGTATCTGATCCCGACAACTCAGTCATCACCTTCTCGTTACTGCCAACGACGGGCTCTTCCTACTTCTCTATCAACCCATCAACTGGCCAGATTCAATACGCTAGAGATTACGATGCCGATCCTAATCGGCTGTCGTCGTCAGTGACACTAACGGTCCAGGCCACAGATCAGACGTTTTTATCAGCAACGGCTAACTTTAATCTTATAATACGCAATGTCAACCAAGCTCCACGGTTCTTGAATCTTCCTGCTATCGTCAACATATCTGAAGCTTTTCCTGCAGGAACACCTTTGTATACTATTCAAGCAACTGATCCAGATTCTACAGATACACTCACGTATAATTTTGTCAACCCTAGTTCGTTTGTTAATACGTATCTTAATTTAAATTCACAGAGTAAGTATCGATACTTTTAAATTTAAAACGGATAAGTGAAGTTTTTGCTACATTCACGGATTATTGAGTTATTTTGGGAGTTGGTGGTTTCCTTTACTTACAGTGCAGAATAATTAATCTAGGTTTGATATAGTAATTTCACATAATTATTTATAAAATGTATTATAGCAAAGTAAACGAATAATTGGCGTGGGTTCAATGGGGGGTCCTGGGGGTCAAGGTGGCTAAGTGGGTAAGACGCTGATTCGCTAGCCTGGAGATCGGGTGTTCGATCCCTGCATTGACCGAGAAAGTTCATCCAGATTTTTCGGCGTGATTCTCCTTCGTCAGTGATGCAGGGCGGAGGGCCTGACAAGGTTCGGATGGGACGAAAAACCGAGGTCCCGTGTACACATTGGCGAGCGCGTAAAAGATACCTTGACAGTTTGAATTCGATAGAAGAGTAGGCCGTAGTGCCGCTGATCGGGCAAAATTTCCCTCATAGCACACTGTATGGCGTATGCCCGTCGTCATTTGCCAGTTTGGAGTTGAACAGTAGGTAGGACGTTAAACCCCATTTCATTTCATTTTAATGGGGGTCCCGTTTCATTCATTCATTCAATAGAGTGTGGTAGTATTTTCATAGAATAATATGTGGATACTTTGTTTGTTAGGGGATACTGTGATAGATTCACAGAATAATTATTGATTCTACTGCATAGATAGTTAGTTGGTTATCATGAAATTTGATGGAGTAATGCATTACATAACATAGAATGTTTGGTGCATGTTTTGTTGTACAATATTCTTTACTTCATTTTTTACAGCCGGTGTGTTAACCTTTACAAGAACGCAAAAACTGGATTATGAAACACAAAATCCTAAATCCATGCTCGTAACGATTAGTGTTGGTAACAATTTCCACAGCATCAATGATCTTCTGACAGTCAATGTTGTCAATAGCAACGAACCGCCATATTTTACAAGGAGTAGCTATGACGTTACCACTACAACTGGTCCGGTAAGTTAAGTTTTATTAATCAACGGAAGTTCTAATATGTTCGAATCAGGTCACATTCACAATTTAACATACATTTAAAGAAAAGAAATAAAATAAAATGAAATGAAACGGGCGTAAACATCCTTCTGTTCTGCACCAAACTGACTAATAAAGACGGGCATATGTCATGCAATGTGTTATGAATGAAATTGTACCAGAACAGAATAAAACCAGAGGTCCCATGTATACGTTGGCTTGCAAGTAAAAAAAAGGTTGTCAGTTTAAATTCGATGAAGAGTAAGCCGACAAGCCACTGCCCTGGCAAAATTTTCCTTATTTTCTTATTTCCGGTTGGTGCAGAAAGGTGGGAACACCACCGTCCTGGCAAAATGTCCATCATAACAACCTACATAGCGTATTCCCGGTTGGTGCTGAAAAGTGGAACAGTAAATCCCATTCCTTGGCATACATAAAGTTTTAAAAAAATCTAAATATTGTAGCATCCATCTAAGGCATAAACAAACCATCGCCACTATCAAAGTGTAAATCCATTTAGCAACCCAGATGGTATGTTGGCGATTGAATGGCTTCCAATTATTTCCATTTTCAGGCAGAGAGAATTATTGTTGACAACTTAGTGGATTTAGTGCAAGACCCCGATTTAACCGACACAACATTTACATACAGCATTCAAAATGAACTTTATTCAAATTATTTCAAAATTGACCAGTCAAATGGTCAGATTTCGTTCGCAGTGGAATATGGTACTGACCGAACTACTTTCCCCGATGAAGTGTCGTTAGTTGTGATAGCGACTGATTCAAGGGGGTTAACTGGAACGACAACTTATGTCATAACCATCAATTTAGCCGAGCTACCACCCGTGATAACAAATTTACCATCCAGTGTGAGTGTGGATGAGAATACAGCAACAGGAAGTACAATATTTACTGTAACAAGTGAAGATTTAAATCCTGATGATACTATAACATATATGATAGAGACAGTCAACTTTACTACACAACTTTTCTTAATTAATGATAGTAAGTATTGTGTATGTACCAATTTGGTGAAATTGACAGATATTTCTACCTAAATCTGCCGACAGACCATTCGAAATTCCCTAATTCCCTCAAAGTTGGTTCCAAATAAATATTTTGTATGGCCCCTCAAACTCTTTTTTTTTCTGATTTTAAAACGGAATGATACCAGAGTTAAAAGATTGGTCACGGACTGAGGATGTTAGGTTAATTTCTGTGTTCAGTCCCATACAAGCCTTGGAGCAAGCACTTGCCATATATTGCATCATATGTTGTAAAACCTTTCAGCCCAGTTACTACTTCTGTTTAAAATTAGAGCTGGGCACGGGGACGGAAATTGGCCGTGCAGCCAGTCAGATTTCTTGAACAAACTGACATCTGTTTGTGTTAGATTATCGAAAAATGGCAACACTTGATATAACTAGAACTTGCTTTGCCTATGGTGTTGTTTCTACTATTTGGTGCCTAATATCGATGGTACCATCATGTTTTTCTTTTCAAATTAACCGAAATAGTTCATCGGGTTTTCCGACATGGTTTCCTCTTGTCAGTGGTGCAGGACGGAGGGCCTGACAAGGACAGATGTCGAGTCATTCGGATGAGACGAAAAACCGAGGTCCCGTGTATACATTTGCGTGCACGTAAAAGATCCCTTGGCAATTGGAATTCGATATAAGAGTAGGCCATAGTGCCGCTGCCCGGGCAAAATTTCCCTCATAGCACACTGTATAGCATATGTCCTTCTTCGTTAGCCCAGTCGGAGCAGGACGTTGACCCCCATTTCATTTCATTTAAAATTTTCTTTTCAAATGGTGTCTAATGGTCTTTCTGTTGTTATGATTCCTTACCTTGAATTATCTCTGTTTTTAGTTTGTGCCGTTATCATCTTTACCATCATTTTTTTGTCTGTTTCCTGTTACTTTTATTAATAACTCCATCTACATTGTGGAAAAATGTAAAATTATTTTCCAAACCACGATTGCTGCAGTTGTGTTTTCTTGGCCATATCAATCTGATTAAAACACAGATCCTATTTCGTTTCGTTTTTATAGTTCAAAATTTCGTTTTACTTGCATTGTCTTTACTACACTATGATCTGGAAGAGTTGTTATCATCATTGACGTGTTCTGAAACGGTCTGTTACGGTGAGCTTTAAGTGTGTTTTGCACGGAACTGTGGGTAATCCACTAGTAACATCAATGCTGATTGGTTAATCAAATGTCTGACGACATAGGGTCAAAAGCCGCGACCTATCGCTACAACCGGTCAGATCTTCATGTAGTGTAGGCCATCGAAAGTATAAAAAAAAATCGAAACGAAATATAGATCTGTATTTTAATTAGATTGTGGTGATATTGTATACCTGTTTTCAGATGGTGATATTTCTGTTAGCGATGGCAGTATGTTAGATTATGAATCTTTACCATCAGTTATCACTGTAGAAATAACAGCTTTCGATGGTGATTTATTTTCAAATCCTGGTATATTAACTGTTAACCTACAGAATGTCAACGAAGCACCAGTCTTTACACTGGCTGAATATAACTTCAATGTTTATGGAAGCAAGGTAAGGTAACATATTATGAAACAAACGAAATATCAAGGGGATACTCGATTGAACGTTCCGGAATTAAATTCTCTCAATTTCAAAAGTAATGTCAATCAAGTGAAAGGGAGAATTTCACAGTACAACGCATGTGCCGACTGCATAAAAAATACCTCGACCAATCATGACAGCTGAAACATATTTGTTACTTAAAATACGTCACTATTCTACTCACACCACCTCAACTGTTGTGACTGGCAGAACTGTGACATGACTGAATTGCTACTTTTTCGCAATCCTTAATTATGATAAAGGAGTAACAGCACTTTGCAGATTAATTGTGTTTTAGTTACAACTCTGCTGTTATTCAAATTTTAAGCTCTTAGTAAAATGGACTTACTGACTTTATTGTCACCCTTATGCAACCGTGTACAGGAGATCTCAGCTTGTCGTCCCATCTGAATAACTAGGCTCTAGGTTAATGAGCCACTGCCGTTTTCACTATTCCACCATGGCTTCCGAATAAAATACAATACAATACAACTCCCCGGGAATATATCGAAAACTAGAAACCCAGAAATCCCCTGTCCAGTTATCTGTGACAAGAAACAGGGAAATCGGCCCCAAGTCACTTGACTAAATGATATACCATATGATCCAACTCGCCCACGTTAACTATTCGACCACGCCCCTCTAAAGGAACATGCTGTTTTTGTTCACAAAAATTATATTGTTTGCCGGTTACGTTCAGTAGTATAAATCTTTTTTTTATATGTTCCATTGTTCCGACTGCGAATAAAGTGGATTAAACTGTAACAAAACGTATTTCTGCATTTCAGGCTGGCCAGGTTGTGATAAACAATTTAACACAGTTCGCTTCGGATCCGGATCAAAACGATGTTTTGACATTTTTAATCTTTCCATCAAATCCAAATTTTTTTATCAACCCTTCAACAGGAGCCATTTCATTTACTTCTGATTATCCATCTTCCTTACCAAAATTAATTAGACTTCCGGTGGTTGCTCGAGATTTAGGAAATCTGAATGACTTGGCGAACATAACAGTGAGAATCAATGACACAAACCAGCCACCTGTTTTGACCAATTTACCAGAAAGAGTTCAAGTGCTAGAAAATACAGCATCAGGAACCACAGTTTTTACTGTCTCAAGCCAAGATGTAGATGGCGGTGATACGATTACCTACACGATGCAAGCTGTTAATACTGCAACCCAGTTATTTTCTATCAGTAGCGGTAAGTACTTTAGGGAGGGAAGTGACTGGTTTGCTGTTTTGTGCAAGGTAACTGTTTTCTATCAGTAGTGCTAGGATTTTTTGTGGACATGTGGTCCGAAATATCTGACCTCATGGTGTAAAAGCCATCAGCGTACCAAAACATGAGCTTATTGCCTGTGGATGTGTGGTCCAAAATATCTGACCTATGTCGGCCGCCTAATACACAATCAGTCACGGTGGGAAACTATACCTTTAGGGGCTTATCCGGTTGTGTTGATGCTGCTCATAGGGATTGACAGCACAGGAATCAACATTTGAATTTTTAAATTGATCCACGCTAAATCCAATGTGTGTTTTCCTTTTACGCTGGAGATGTTCTAGGTAAGACTGATGTACCACTGTAACTGTTTGCTGCTACTTCAGGTGGAATTGCATCTGTGAAACACCTTTTGAACTCTTACTAACCTTTCAGCGTTACCCCTTTCTGTATTAGCTCTGAAAACCTTGAGGATCTGTGTGATCCCACGTTAAGGTTTCTATTACTTTTTATTTTTTTTGTTATTTTAGCCGGAGTAATATCTGTAAAAAGTGGAATTATTTTAGATTATGAAAGTTTACCATCAATTTTCTATTTGACTATCAGAGCTTTTGATGGTCAGCTTTATTCCACACCAGCTAATCTGACCATACAACTAATAAATGTAAATGAAGCACCCAGATTTAACCCATCACAGTTTTCTTTTACTGTTAATGAAGGGAAGGTAACCATCTTTATTATTGACTATGTAATCATCATACTTGTCTTAAAGTAGCCAACTTTTTAACCAGTATCATCTTCGACATTGCAAACAAGACTTATTGGTCAATTTAAATCAAAATTGATGTTGTGATTTTTCCGTGAAAAGATAGGCTTCTGATATCGAATATTTAAGACATAATGAGAACTTTAAACTTGACACACAGAACCGCATGTCAGAATACTTGCGAGTGTCATTTGTAATGAGCGACTCGACGAACGAGGTTAAACATATCTTATGTAGGAGAATACTACCGGTGTAGACTGGAATAACAAGACGTCAAAGACTGCCATTTAATTCGCGTATTTCGCCGAACATAACTCATTAGATATTACAGTATAAACAGAAACAGTTGAATATAAATCAGTTTATATACATCCATATTACGTTGTTATATGCGTTGCGCCTCATTTGTGCCCATTTCTAGGTGCCAAAAAATAGCGATTTAGCTCCTTTAAGTATCTAGGTTTACAATGCAACAGGTTAAACACAATCTTGTTCGTGGATAAAAATTGATCAGTGCAGAATGATGTGAACATTGATTAAAGTTAACGATTCCCGACCCAATAATATCGGGTTTGGGAGGGAGACAACTGATAATGAACATTGTCTGAGCATCAACTCTAACTTTTACATTTAACGAGATTAACATTCAGTTCTATTCGATAGTGGGGGATCACGTGGCTTAGTGGGTAAGACGCTGGCTCGCTAGCCTGGAGGTCGGGTGTTCGATCCCTGCATTGGCCGAGAAAGTTCATCCAGATTTTCCAGCGTGGTTTCCCCTTGTCAGTGATACAGGACGGTGGGCCTGACAAGGACAGCTGTCTAGTCGTTCGGATGGGACGAAAAACCGAGGTTTCGTGTACACATTGGCGTGCACGTAAAAGATCCCTTGGCAGTTGGAATTCGATATAAGAGTAGGCCGTAGTGCCGCTGCCCGGGCAAAATGTCCCTCATAGCACACTGTATGGCGTATGCCCGTCTTCATTAGCCCAGTTTAGGAGTAGAACAGTAGGACGTTAAACCCCATTTCATTTCATTTCATTTATTCGATAGTGGTGGTAGGGGTTGGGGTTGGTAATCAATTCAGCGACTACCAAGGAGTCTATAAGGTGCTCTACCAAAATTTGCCTTGTTTTTGTGTCATTTTCACCTCCGTAGGACCACGATTGAGAGACTGACTCCCCTTATCACAACGGAAGTTGGACTCAGGACAGACTGATGTGAGATTCCGATCTCGTGGTTCCCATCTATACACGTCCCCTGTGTTTAATGTATTTCAGGCAGGTCAGATACTAGTGCCATCCTTAATCACATACATCATAGACGAGGATGCAAACGAACAATTTACATTTTCCTTAGTTCCTGGCACCAACTCCGACAGATTCAGCATTGACCAATCTACTGGTGCGATTAGATTTAGTGCAGATTACGATACAGACCCAAATCGCGCCCCCAATCAAGTGACACTAGATGTACTGGTAAGGGACACAGGACTAGGTTTCAGTACGGGAAAGATCACTCTCAGTATCAGCAATGTGAATCAAGTCCCAATGTTTACCAACCTACCCAAGGAGGTACAGATCTCACCAGACACTCCCGCTGGTACCGTCGTTTTTACGGTTAGTTTTAGTGATCCAGACTCTTTGGATACACTAACTCTTAATGGAATGTTTACCAACACGGTCTCCAGCAATTCATTTAGTTTCAACCAGATTAGTAAGTAGTTTTACAATATGTTCATGGGGCTCAGTCAGACTCAATATAAAGACTAGATATTCTTGAGTCTTTCTCTGTGTGTGGGGGGAGTCACTTTAAGTCTTGATGCTGCATGGGTTCAAGGATTTCTTTAAGTTTAAGCAAATTATTTTTTTTAATATTTCGGTAAGGTTCAAGAGGGAACAGAGAAAGCGCTCTCGATAGTTTCCACACTGATCGGCAGTGAATATTCACTAGGCCGCTAATATAACTGAATGGGATGACATCGGTGCGGGTTAATGAGCTCTAAATATTAACTTTTTATTAAAAGTATATCCGGATAAAAATATTTCTTATTTAGTGTAAATGAGTATATATAAAATTATTAAAAGGCACCATCCTGCCCGGACCAGTCCATGTTGTGTAAACATTACACGGGCTATAGTGCCAATGGTCGACGCAGCGTGGTTTGACGTCACATCTAGAAGGGATTTGAACTTATATAAGGCCAGTTATCTTAAACAGGGGCATTGCGATTACAATACCTCTATGAAACAGATTAGATAGTTAATGTTTGGAAACAATCAGCTATTTTAAGTCTTGTGTCTTGTGACCGCCATTACCTGCACCGTTTCAATGAAGTGTTTTAGTTTAAACCAAACGGGAATTGGGAAAAGAGCTTGGTATATTTCCTTGGAAACAATTAGTTTTATTCACTGTCAATTCGCTTAACACTACTGGGCAATGTTTCAGATGGTGAGTTAAAATACCTTGGTCTAGTCAGTATCCCAGGACATGTTCTACAGTGTACACTTAGTGATGGTAAAGTTACTACTACAGCTCAGCTTAACATACTTGTGTACCAAGATCCCCAAGGTAAATAATTAATTAATACATTGTCAGAAAGCATAAAAGGAAATGAAATTGGGTTTAACGTATAACTTTTCTGTGGTGTGCTATGAGGGAACTTTAGTCTGGACGGTGGCGTGTCCGCTTACTCTTTAACGGATTCTAAGTGGGATCTATGTGTCGTCAAATCAATACGACTAGACGCCAACTCCCTACTTTGTGATCTATATGAGCCCTCGGAGAGAGAGAGAAATGGGGTTTAACGTCCACTCAACACAAACTAGGTCATTTCGGGACTAACATCTGGTGATTTTTTAGCAGTGGGAGGAAACCCACGAGGTTGGACAGGCGACCCTACTCCTTGTCACGTACAACCGGGGATTCGAAACCACGCCAGTTGACCCAATGACAGGTCTTATGATACAGCACGCACGTGCTAACCATTCGGCCATCCAACCCCCCCCCCCCCCCCCAGGAGCCTCCGGCGTCCATAATAAGAAACAGTACAATCATAAGCATGACTAGTCTTATGTAGCAGGAGGACCACCACCACCATCAGTTCAGCACATTCATAGCATTGTAAACATATTCGTGCCCGCTATATTGGGGTAGTTGGGTAGCCCAGTGGTTTAACACGTTCGCGTTAGATTATACGGTTTGTCATTGAGTCAAGTGGTGTGGTTTCGATTCCCCGCATGCACATGTGTCGAGTTTGTTTCGAGAGGACGTTAATCCCCCCCACCCTCCCTCTCTCTCTCTCTCTCTCTCTCTCTTCTCTCTCTCTTCACATAGTTATCACTATCAGTATAGTTATCTCTCCCCCTCTCCCTCGTTCTCTCTCTTTTCATAGTTATCAATTTCTACAGATAGGAACAATTTCAATACTTTTATGTTTTAGTAACCACTACATTAGTCCCGACTACTACAACAGCTTCTCGTGAATTACTTATTACCAATCTACCACAGACAATCACCATAGCAGAAAACGTTCAATCACAAACTATCGTCTTTAAAGTTACAACAAGCAATGCAGTTACCAGCCCCCTTTCCTTCCAGTTACAACATTTAAACACGGGTGATCTGTTTGCTATAAATAATGGTAAGTTCCATAAATAAAACAAAAATTGAATACCGACATAAATTTTTACCCGACTACCAACGTTTAACTATTAGTACGTTGTTTCATTGAATTGCAAAAATTGTCAGATACCTATCCAAAATTTTGACAAAGCGACGTATTTTTTTAGTACGGATTTACATTTTGTATAAGTTGTGTATATCTATAACATATTTTATTACAGATGGTGATGTATACGTTACCAATGGAGCTGTGCTAGATTATGAATCCTTACCAACTTTAATCTACCTGACAATAACAGCCAATAATGGCGCAGTTTCTTCTAAACCAGTCAATCTGACAGTTAGATTATCTAATGTCAACGAACCACCTAAATTTAATCAATCGTTGTACAGTTTTATTATTGGTGACGCTAAGGTTAGAATTGTCTAAGAATGTAATTCTCATGTTTTTCAGAATGAAAGGTGCTAAAGCTGAAATAATAAAAATAGAATAGGATGTAATTCCAAAATGAAATGAAATGAAATGGGGTTTAACGTCCTACTGTTCTGCTCCGATTGGGCTAATGAAGACGGGCATACGCCATACCATGTCCTATGGGGGAAACTTTTTACGTGCATGCCAATGTATACACGGGACCTCGGTTTTTCGTGCCATCCGATCGACCAGAAAGCTGCCCTTGTCAGGGCCTCCGTCCTGCACCACTGACAAGGGGGAAACCACGTCGGAAAATCCCGATGAACTTTCTCGGCCAATGCAGGGATCGAACAGATTTAATTCCACCCACTTTGCACCAACCATAAATATATGAATTAATATTCCCTTATAAATCCCAAAATGGGTTGTTATTACAATTAATAGTCTTTCAAAACTGGTGCTGTATCATAAATAAATAAGTTATAGCGCCATCGATCCTGGTACTGTTGCATTTTATTCACAAGGGCAATCAAAAACAGGTGTTGTGGCATTTTTCCATAAATACAATACAGTACAATGGATCCTCAAGGGTATAGGGTATAGTACAATCTATCCTTAAAGGCAATCGAAGACAAACGCAAATGTAATGGGACAATTGTAACATTCTTATTTCAGTTGGGAGATGATTTGACACAAACACTCATACCCTACATCAACGACCCGACTAGTAAACTGTTCAGTTTAGCTTCGACAACGTATGCTCAATATTTTGCCATTAATCCCACCACAGGTGCAATTAGGCTCGCTACAAACCCACCACTACTTCCTAAACAGGTAATATACATTTTGTATTATAAATGCAATGAAAAAGGGTTTAATGTCCTACTGTTCTGCTCTGCTAATGAAGACGGACATACGCCATACAGTGTGCTATGACGGATATTTTGTTTTACATCGAATTTCAACTGCCAAGGGATCTTTTACGTGCACGCCAATGTATACACGGGAACTCGATTTTTCGTACCATCCGAACGACTAGACAGCTGTCATTGTCTGGCGTCATTCTTGTTTTGAATTATAACATTGGTGTTTTATATCAATAAATTGATACTTCTTATGACGTCATATTTCATATTTGTACAGCAAAACTATTATTAAAGATTACCTTGTAAATGATACTGTAAATGACTGACCTAAGCCTAACCCTAACCCTAGTTCACTGAAGCTATCAGGCACTCTGTGTGTCCCAATAAAGTTTCTGTGATTAGGAATAACTTCTTTCATTTCATTTTTCAGGTTAATTTAACCGTTATTGTACAAGATTCATCTATTGGAGGACAGACTTCCACGGCTGTGATCAGTCTCTTCATGAACCTTCCTCCTCGTTTTACTAACCTTCCCAGTACTGTCACTATACCATCCGACACGCGTCCACGAGATGCTATATTCACTGTCCAGACGACTGATCCTAATCCTGGTGATATTTTAACACTGCGCTTGATTACATCACAATCCAAGTTCGGTTTAGGAAGCATCAGTAAGTTCCATGTGATTACACTCAAACAAACATTAAATTGAAACACTTCATATTACCTTTTGACATCCGAGGCTGTGTCTTTAGTGTGTCAATGTTAAAGATAAAATACACAATGTAGCTTGTTATTATAAATATATCTGATTGTTCCCGGAAATCGACGAACTTTGTTCCGGCTTGGGTGGGACTATTTACCTAATACTACCCAATACCACCTCAATATCACCACATACTACCCAATACTACAACATAATGATGCAAAATGGATATATCATTTATTTTTTTTTTCAAAAATAGAAAGTTATATCGCGTCAATTGTATATCAAATGTCATACAGATGTTTGGCTGTTCCATTTGCCTTCCTATGTCACCAAAAGCAAGTAAATAATAACCCAATACTACCAAATACTACTCAATATTATCAAATAACAACCATATATTGTCAAATAACAGCACATTAGTATAATTACTTCGCTAATTACACAATGTATATTTTCCATGATATTTAGTTTAACAATTCTCCTTTCTACTTTTACTTTAGCAAATGACGTATTTGTCCAATTAGGAGACAGCTTTTCAGCTAATGAGAGTTATATTATAGAGTTTAGTGTTTCTGATGGGCAGAAACTGGTCAATTCTGCTCTTACAGTGCATGTGTACATTCCAGGTAGGTTTATTTAATCGTTTTTCGTTTTAATTTTTTATATTTTGAATTTTTTATGCAGGGGTATATTTTTCTGATAAATTAATTATTTAACGCACCTTTGTTCCGGAACTAATGGGGTGTCACAGAACTCTGTTTTGGGGCCATTTTGTTTGTTATGTTATTGTTATATTACAGTAAGTATTCTGAAAATGTATGATTTTTGGGCGAATCTTTATGTTTTTCGTCGTTAAGGTTATGGCTGCTATAATTATTTTTTTTTTATTTTAAGCAAAAACTATAACCGAAATACCAACGAGTCTAACGACGAAACCTACCGTTGTAGATCCAAAGACGACAACCAGTAATACTGTTACAGATTCTAACGATAGCCTGCCACTTGTAAGTTTACTTTCACTTTAGCGAATCATTTGTCAAAAATCTTAATTCTATACTAATGTTTTGGACATCTTATGTCTTTGACAGTGTTGAACTTCGTGGGTCTTTATACCTAGATTCTGGAGATATGCAGTATAAAAAGAAATGGGGTTTAACGTTCACCCGACACAAATTATGTAATTCGGTTTATTTTCTTTAAATAATTAGCTTGCGCGTAGGGGCCTTTAGCAGCGAGGGGAACCGGTGGACCCGTTGGAAAAAACACGCGGGTAGATAGGCAACTCTACTCATTGTCACGTACAAGCAGAGAATCGTACCCTCGCCACATGATCTAAAGCGGATGCCTTAGATTATTCAACCACCTAAACCCCTAAAATGTATGTATGTATGTGACGTTATGTGGCTATTATCTATGATAATGACCCAAAAGAACACGTGCTGGAAATATTTATATTTTTTGTATTTTAGCTTGAAAGACCATGGGCGATAACAGCCATTATTATTACAGCTGTACTGGTGCCGACGTTGATTATATTAGTAGCAGTTATAATCTGTAAGCGACGTAATGGACACGATGACAGGTGGGTAATATTGGGGCGGATTCAGGGTGTATGTCATCTTCAATAGAAGGCTTGATCTCGCTTTAACTACGTACATCTTATCAAGGCCTTCACGTAATACCCTACATATTGCGGCACTAATTTCGATTGGGTATAAGCCCAACTTGTGAGCCTATCAGATTCCTCGATCGTCGCGAATACCAAGTCTCGCGCTTACAAGCTAAAAGGTCTACCTGTGATAATCGAGTTGCAAAGTTGAAGGTTCATTCAATGTCAAGGTTTCCGTGGAGGTCGCGATGTCACAACCTCTGATTGGACGCTGCTGCTCACGTGTCTGTAGATAACTTAGCTATAAGTTCGAGAATTGTGAAGTAAACAAGCAACGGCCAGATGTTGTGAAACTCGTAGTCGTTGCTTCAGGAACATGGGTGTATGTATGGTTAGATCTATTTAAGGCCACCACCAGATTTGGCCAAAGGTCCCGCGATGTAAACAGGACTAGTGCTAACTCTAACCCTGGACCTAGCCATAACCCTAACCCTAACCCACAATCTAGTAAACAATCACGTGCCTTAACCTTATTTACATCTCAGCGACCTTGACGAAATCTGGAGGTGACCTTAAGGAATAGATCTACCCCATCTGTATGTAATGTAATAATACAGAGCGACTGAAATCCGAAACGGTGTTACAATTTGTATAAACTCATTAACTTTGAATGGTAATAGAACGTGCAGGGGGAACGCATTATACACAATTACAAAAGATAAACCTATGCACATAGCACAAACAACAATTTTGAAAGCAATAAATAATGCTAGAAAAAAGGCAAGTTTGAGCACCATACAATAAAATACACATATGTATTTTAGTCCATGTGACAGACCTGGGATTTTGGAACATCATTACCAATTTGATGAATAAATTCAACCATGATTTTCAGTTAGCCTGGTGGCTGAAGTGTTGAAATTTGGTTGATGGACTTCCGGGTTACTTTGCTAAATTGCATTTTGGCGGCCATCTTTAAAGATGGCCGCCGTTATTTCATTGAAATTGAGCGCATCGGGGAAACCTTCATAGCTCCTGAAAAGATCGACCTATGGATATGGAATGTGGCTCACAATGTTCACAAGAAAATGCTTCTTCTGGTGCTATATGATTCTTGTTGTTGAATGAATCATATATTTTCCAAATCAACAGATTATTCTGGAAAAAGCAACCTTTTGGCATTTTTATTTTCCCAGGTTTTCATGATTTATTTTATAAGTTTACTACTACAGCTGCGGTGGCCGCAAACTCAACAAAAGTCGTAAGTAGACTGTCAAATTTAAAATGTTGAACGTCGGCGAGGCAGGGCACAAACTTAGTGAACTTTTAGCTAGTGTGTCACAATCAAAACGATATTTGGGGACGGGTTGTTTCTGTGTCAAAATTTGTCCCTAAAGACAATTTTGAGATTATGTCACTTCTGTGACGTCATTTTCGGTTGGGGTTTTGTCCGATGTCCAAAATGACCGCAAGGGAGCTAATGATGATCCGAACAATTATAGGCCAATCTCAATTCTCCCCACAATTTCAAAGATATTCGAAAGGCACTTGAGCACTCAAATTCAAACTTATTTGGAAACCTTCAATGTTCTTTATGCTTACCAATCTGGATTTAGATCAGATCATTCATGTGCTACTGCACCGATCCGAATGACAGATAATTGGCTTGATGCTATCGATAATGGTGCGATGAGTGGTATAGTGTATCTTGATTTTAGCAAAGCATTTGATCTCATTGATCATAAGCTTATTATTGAAAAACTACATCTTTATCGATTTGATAATAATTCACAAATTTTGATTGAATCATATCTTGACTCACGGAAGCAAAATGTATGTTTAGGATCAATTACCTCCTCAATTACTACAGTCAAATGCGGGGTTCCACAAGGGTCGATCGTGGGTCCTCTCCTATTCCTTATTTTTATAAATGATTTCCCACTCAATATTGAATCAAGTCAGATAGATTTGTTTGCTGATGACAGTACCCTGCATTGTTCACACAAAGATATTTAATCCATCGCCAATAATCTCCAAAATTATCTCTATTTGGTTGCTAAATGATGTGAAAACAATGGGATGGTAATCAATCCTTCGAAAACAAAATCAATGCTGATTTCATCAAAACACAAAAGAAATCAGAAAAACCTAACTTTATCACTCCATGGTGAGAAAATTGAGACGGTTACTACCGCAAAATTACTTGGAATTCAAATTGATCAAGACCTTAATTGGGAAGCACAGATAGCAGATATGTCTAAAAAAACTTGCATCAAAAATATTTCTCCTAAATAAGATAAAAGATCATTTACCTTACGAGACAGGAATTTTGTTTTATAACAGTTACATACTACCAATATTTGATTATTGCTCTATTATTTGGGGAAATGCTACCAAAAGTAGATTAGACATTCTTTTAAAATTACAAAAGAGGGCAACAAGAACTATTCTTGATGCACTGATTGAAACTCCGTCCACCTCTTTATTTACTAAACTCGGTTGGCTTACCCTTACACAGAGGATTCTTTACAATAAAATTGTCTTAGCATTCAAAATTATTACATTTAATACTCCACTTTATCTAAATTTCTATTTTATTGAAAAATCTCTTGTTTCCAAAACCGATATCTTGCTCCGTTCACAGACCAGTAAATCTCTTTTTCTTCAAAATTGCAAAAAAGAATCCATGAAACGTACTTTTCATTATTCTGCATGTCTTTTATGGAACAATCTGCCTTTTGATATAAAGATGTGTAAAAATGTTGAAAATTTTAAGATTAAACTGAAAAGTCATTTATTTTGCACACTGAAGGAACCATAATATTCAACTGATGACATACTTATTATTTTTAACTTGCAACTGCATTCTATTTTATTTTGTGTGTAATTATAGTGTTCTTCCTATTTTCTACTTGTATAATGTATATGTTTTGAAGTTTGGGAGTGACTTATCAAACTTCCCACTTTAAAATGCTATTGCATTTCTAATGATTTTAAATTTATCCTGATATTACATGTATATATGTCTTTGTAGCTTAGGAGGGACCTATGGAAGATTAGTTTTATTGCAAACTAAATACGTTGCCTCATTAAATAAAGTTTTTATTATTATTATTATTATTATAGTATCATGCAAGGTAGGGCTTATGATATATCATGTATAGGGTTTTCGTAGCCACTGAATTTAAAATTGAATTATTTATTGGAATTTTCGATGAAACGGAAAGGTTTGTTCCGCACAGGTATTAGCTTAGAAGGGACAAATACAATTTGTAGAACCAGATATTTGATGTTAGTGAACCCATTTTTCTAGGACACCTGTTTCACACGAAATCTTATTTTCTATCCAGACGAACCTTCAGTATAATAATCTATATGCATACAAAGTTTATGAAAATACACATTCAAGCAGCATTTAATATGGTCTACCACCTGTAGGACACTCCCTTCAACTTAAAAATAAATTGTTTATTGGAATTTTCGATTAAACGTAAACTTTCTGTAAAATGTAAAAAACTCGACTAATATACCAGTTGTAACATGTTTAACATCATATCTTTCCACGCGAATTAACAATAAATTGTTCATTCGATAAAACGGAAACATTTTTTATACTTGTAAAATAAATACCTATTGTGTATATGATACGTTGAAGTCTACCATGTAATACGGAAATTTGCAACACGTTTATAAGCACCATATCTTTCTACATGAACTAACAATAAATTGTCCATTGGATAAAAAGGAGACATTTTTTTTATATATATAACTGTAAAATAATATATGAATTATCGTTTTAACATCATATCTTTTGCCTCCCTTTTCAGGGATGGACACTCAAAAGGAGTATGGTAGTTTCGGGGGTCCCTAAACTAGTCAATGTTCTCGCGTAGTTATGAATTTATGTCGTTTTTGATGAATTATTAAGATATATGCATAAGCTAAAAACACCAGGATATACTCTAGAAAGTACCATTTAAATTACAGTCAGTTTTTCAAAAGAAATTTCAAGTCTGGTTGTAGAGAACCCTGTCGTTCACCTCACGGAGCAAAGATAAGCCTGTCCTATCCTAGGTATCATATGTGTAATTTTATGTCAACTTCACAATTGTTAGTATAAATATAACATTTACTTGACAATTATCACAATTTTCATCTGGCCTTAAAATATTTTAATTGGATTTGTGTTCCTGGTGGTATAAGCTTTCCAAATATGTATAGTTTGTTTAATAGGGAGGACCTTGTAGCGGAACTGTGTTTCTAAGCAAGCTAAAAATTTTGGTTGCAGGCCTACTAGACTATACGACAAAAGTTGTCGGGCATAGAGGCGTTAATATAAACGGACCACATTACCATTTCTGAACGAATAAGAGATCTTAAATTCTTAACAACTGGATATATCATAAATAATTCTCAATGCGGCTTAAAATGGTGCAAAGGCATAGTAGATGAAATTAAAATGACTCACTATTTTGGTGAAATGTCTTGTGATCTGTGAGATCCAAAATAATCAATTCCATATTATGCCCCATTGTATTGTTTATGGGGTGTGTGTGTGTGGGGGGGGGGGTCGCATAGGATGTGTCATTTTTAGCAGTATCATTAACATCATTTTCAGCATTATTTTTGAGTTTTTATTCATGTTCAGTGACTCTGAAAACCTTATAAAAGAGACATTATAAGCTATATAAAACAGTCATTCATGTTATGGAAATTCTGACCGCCATTTTGAATTTTCCCCATCTTGGATTTTTAAAACTCTTTGTTTAGATTAAACAAACATTGTGCAAGAGCTAAATCTGCCTATTGCAGGTCTTTCTTTAGGCCTGAAATGTTTTCTATATTATTATTTAGACATTAATTAACTGACCCAGGCCATAATCAACTCTCGATGGCATCGGATTTCTCCGATATTAAATAAATTAGAACGTATCAGTCATATTTTGATTTAATCTAAAAATGGAGGAGCGAGACTTAGCTTCGAGCAACCAGTACAGTTGTTGAAATTATTGCACGTGTCTTGTCAAACCTTCAAAGGCTAATATCTTCGCTTGCAATAGAGTAATTTGAATGAAATTGTCAAATTATTCATTTTACATTATCTATTTTCGAACTATTGTAGCAAGAATGGCTAGCTCTTTATCTAAATCTTACGTAATGAATCTTTAATTGTAAGCTCATTGGATAGTACATGTCATATCAAACAATGAAATGACTATTATCTGGCATATTGGCCATTTTAGGAAATTTTGTCGCCATTTTGAATTTCCGCCATCTTGGATCTGGGACACTCATATTTGAGATTATTTTTTATGATTAATGTTTCTGATATCTATTCAATCACTTAAGTTGACCAAACAGATAATTTGGCTTATATGGGTAAACATACGAACAGACATGAAAAAAAAAATCGAAAATGTTGCTTTTTTCAGATTAATTTTTTATTTTAAAACTGATAGTATTGATTAAACAACATATATCATATACCAGCAGATGCAGAATTATATTATGAACATTTTGAGATATATTACATATCCATATAGGTGAAACTGTTGAGGAGTTATGAAGGCTTCCCCGACTCGCACTATTTCAAATAAGAAAAAAAACGGCGGCCATTTTTTTAAAGATGGCCGCCAAACTGACATTTGGCAAAGTGACCCGGAAGTCCATCAACCTATTTTGGACACTTTAGACCTAAGGCTAACTGAAAATCATAGTTAAACCAATTCATCAAATTGGTAATGAATATCTGCCTGTCACATGGACTATTTATTTGAAATAAATTCGCATTATCATATATTTGTGTTATTTTTTATCATTTTGTTTGCAAACTTAGTGTGGTATTGGGGTGTTTTATCCATAAGATGGCCTGGATTGTTGCATGACAATCAGAAGGGCTAATTAAAAACAGACATCTTCCATTTCACTCCATCCCATATATTATGGTAACTAATGTAAAGTAGAGCGAAACCTATTTGTGATATTTAACGATTAGGAACGTAACAAAACTAACACAGTTATATGGGCTTAATAACGACACGGGTATACTTATCGGAACGTCGTGCTTGTACATAATAAACCAGTGCTTGTTTTCCCATATAACAGTATTTAAATGTAGAGCGATTAAAATACAACTCCTTGTTACATAGGTCTCAGATGAAACGATGACAATATAGACTGGGTTGATCAAGAATATAACACGTTTTGAGGATTTCGTAAAATAAAGGGAGGTAATCGATACTCCTTTTTATTTACAGGTCCAGTTCTAACGAGAAGATTTACGATCAAAGATCAAACAGATCACTTCCACTATCTTTCTATCCTAGGTAAGTTTATCAGATATCAAAATTTATTGACAGTAGCGTCGGTGGCTCAATGGGTAGGACGCTGGCTAGCTAACTAGGAGGTCCCGCTGTTGGTCGGGAAAGTTCATCGGAATTTTCCAGTGTTGTTTTGCTTGTCAGTAGCTGCAAGATGAGGGTCTGGCAACGACATTGTCTAGTCGTTCGCGCCCTGTGTACATGTTGGTGTAAACTTTTAAAAAAGAACCCTCGACAGTTGGAATTCGAGATAAGCGGTACAACAGCTGTCCTGTCAAAACTTTCTTCAGAGCACACTGTATGGCATACCCCCGTCTTCGTAAAGTCGATTCGATGCAGAAAAGCTAGACTTTAAACCCATCCCATTTCATTTTTATGTTACTGTTTCTGTCCTGATTGTTTATTTATTGTACAGTTTTCCTTATTCTCTGTTTAGAATTATTACATTTGACAAGTGTTAAAATGATATTTATTTTTTTTTATTTTCAGTTACAACCATGGAAAGGGTTTCTACCAAACCCACACATACCCACATAACTTTAATTTTACTGATTAATTAAATTATTCAAAAGTATTAGAACTATGAAGTTTTTTATTTATGTGTTACCTATACAAATAAAGAAAATGCAAGCTTGGGTCGAGAAACCGTCGAGGACAATTGTAAATGGGCAAAATATCTAAAGTCTGATTTGTACACTTATGTTGAAAAATATCTGAAGTCTATTTTCAATGTGTACACTCTAAAATAACGTGTGTTGAAAAATATCTAAAGTCTCCTATCAACTTGTACTATACAAGATAATTAGAATTATACCGTTATTTTATTTCTTCTTTATTATTCTGATTTTCTACACTGCATGACATATAACATAATTGGCAATCGTAAAGTCCTGGGCCCTGTTTCTCGAAATCTTAACTAAAGATAAAATCCAAATTTTAGTAGATACCTCAATTTTGATTGGCTAAGCACTAAAATCAGTCTAATATTATCCAATCAAATTACTAAAATTTGGATTTTATCTTAGTTAAAATTTCGTGAAACAGGCCCCTGGTCCCTATCGCGTATCCGTATTGATTTTGCCTGTGACGTCATCATGGCATGTGTATTTCTCATACGGATACGGCAGCACGTATCGAACAGCTTTCATACGGAAAAGGTCATGCTACTTTTAGACACTAAAATGCTGTGCCGTAGCGTTTGATGTGATTTTAACCATGATAAAGACTGGAATTTAATCATTATTTTTTATTAGCTTTTCGCGGAATTTTCATATTTTTCCTATATGCCTGTCTGCATGCTGGTTGATCTACCTGCTAAATTTAGGGAGGCGGGACCGTGCCATCTGTAAAAAGGGTATACATTCTGAAATGATACATTAGTGAAACCAAAAATTGCCGTTGAATTCGAAGATTTTTTTTAATAAGATTCGACACTAATTTTTTTTTAATTTTTACATAACTCAGCGACTGTTGAGCGACTTTGCTCCCTTCAGGAATTTGTAGGTCAGGCACTTGACTAGTACTGATGTTGATCTTGGTAGATAACTGCCATCATGCTGTAATGGGACTAAGCTCAACTCAGCTACTCATACGTACGCGGTACGAAAATCTGCCAAAACTCTAAAACTATATTGACACAACCTATCACGTGACGATACGGATACGTGATACGGATGGAAAAGATTCCGCTTGCCAAAAGTCTCTATTTATTCAGACGGTTGACGTATGAGTGTGTTACATACAAGACTTCGATGAGTTTATAAATAGATCAGCTGATTAATAGGAAATGAAATAAAAGATGGGGTTTAATGTTCCAGCATCAACCGGGGTAATATCGACATGCACACGTCATGCAGTGCTATGAAGTAAATTTTGCCCTGACAGGAGGACAGCGACGCTTCCTCCTACTCGTAATTTAAATTCATCTGTCAGGCCTGGCAAATCTCGATCAAACATAATTAACCAGTTTCATTCTCAAAAATATATATGTGACTTCTCCATTTAAACAAATGATAAATGCAACATTAATGCAATGAAATGGGGTTTAGCGTCCTTCTGTTCTGCTCCGATTAGACATATGCCATGCAGTGTGTTATGAGGGAATTATTACCCGCACAGCAGCGCTACGGTCTACTCTTATACTTAATAACAACTGTGAAGGATTATTTTATGGGACCTTAATTCGCAAATCATTTAGTTTTATATATTTTGAATCTGTTATAAGTATTTTAGTTGCATCAAGTTTTAATAATAGATTACGAAATATATTGCATATATTATTTTTGTATTTTTTTTATAAGTATGTTATTTATATTAGACGTCATAAATACATTACAACTTTTTCAAGTTACATCTTTGTCAAATTACATATATTTGCAATTGCGTCTATAAGATGTCTCTAAATAGTTATCAGTATTTTATTCAAATTAGACATTACGAACTGTATTAGATGGGTCATGTTTGTAATTTGTATTTATATCCAAAAATAAATTACAAACTTTATAAATGGGTTATGTTTGTAATTTGTATTTTACAACCAAAATAGATTACGAACTTTATAAAATGGATTATGTTTTAATCTGGATTTACAACAAAAATAGATTACGAACGGCATAAAATGGGTTATGTTTGTAATTTGTATTTAAAAAAAAAATAGATTACGAACTTTATAAAATTGGTTATTTTTGTAATTTGTATTTACAACGAAATTAGATCACCAACTTTATATAATTGGTTATGTTTGTAATTTGTACTTTTACAACCAAAATAGATTACGAAATTTATATAATGGGTTATGTTTGTAATTTGTATTTAAAACCAAAATAGATTACGAACTTTATAATATTGGTTATATTTGTAATTTGTATTTACAACGAAATTAGATCACGAACTTTATAAAATTGGTTATGTTTGTAATTTGGATTTACAACCAAAATAGATTACGAACTGCATAAAATAGTTTATGTTTGTAATTTGTATTTAAAACCAAACTAGATTACGAATTTTATAAAATGGGTTATTTCTTTGTTATTTGTATTTACGATCAAAATAGATTACGAAATTTATAAAATGGATTATGTTTATTATTTATATTTACAACTTTGTTAGATATAATATTTTTGTAATCTGTATATGCGTGATACATCAAAATGGGGCTAATTCCATGCTTCATAGACACAAACTGTTAAACAGTTTGACAATTGAACTGAAATAAAATGAGACAAACTTTTGAAATATTACACACATTACTGTCGACCAAAAGTGAACATATTAGACTTGTATCTATATATCGTCCTCCACAATCTCCTAAAAACAAAGTTACATTTGATCAATTTATAGCCGAATTTTCTGAATTACTGCAAAATTTAGTGACATCAACAGGTCATTTATTAATAGTTGGTGATTTTAATTTTCATATTGACAATGTCAGTGATAGCCAATCTGTTCAGTTTCTCAATATTTTATCTTCATATAACCTTACACAACATGTGCAAGTTCCTACTCACGGAAAGGGCCACACTCTGGATCTAATTATTACAAGAGATATTGATGACATAATAGCCGGTACAAACGTTCTTGATCACTGTATCTCCGATCATTACAGTGTTTTTGCCTCCCTTAAGCTCAACAAACCTGGCAGTGTAAAAGAAAGACTGATTTTTAGGAATACAAAGAACATAAATATAGATAGTTTTAGAAGTGACATTAATGACGTTTTCTTTCATTTTAGCAAACTAAGTAATCTGGATGATCAAATTTCGGAATATGACAAACAATTGGCTACAATATTTGACAAACATGCTCCTGAACAAACAAAACTATTGACAAAACGTCCAAACAAGCAATGGTTTACGAAGGACATATTAGTTATAAAAAATAAAAAGCGATCAGCGGAAAAAATATGGAGAAATTGTAAAATTGAAATAAATAGACAAATATACAACAATCTCCGTACTGAAGAAAATAAATTGATAAAATCAACAAAACGAAACCACATTCAAAAACAAATTGAAGAAAACAAAACTAATTGTAAACAAGTGTATCGTATTGTGAATAGTCTGCTTAAACAAAGAAATCAAAGTCAGCTACCATCGATTCCTGACAATGTCCAACTTTCAGAAAGATTTTCGTCTTTCTTCACCAACAAAGTAGCAGAAATACGAAGTGAATTAGAAAGTGACATTCTGTTGAATCATACGCATATCAATAACTCTGTGGCTAGTGATACCGATCTTAACACATTTACATTGGTAACTGAGGATGAACTTAAACAAACCATCATGGCATCACCTAGTAAATCCTGCAGTCTTGATCCAGTTCCAACATGGCTATTAAAATTATCTTTACCAGATCTACTGTGGATTATCAAACAAATTGTAAATACTTCCTTACAAACTGGTTATGTATCTCCCATATTGAAACAAGCTATTGTAAACCCTTTACTAAAAAAACCTACTCTGGACCCTGAAATCTTAAAAAACTATAGGCCTGTCTCCAATTTATCCTTTCTGTCGAAAGTAATTGAAAAAATTGTAGCCGTCCGTTTTCGTAGCCATCTGCAACAATTCAGACTGGAGGAACCTTTTCAATCAGCTTACAAAACGAAGCACAGCACTGAAACAGCTCTTTTAAGGGTTCACAACGATGTAGTGTCTTCATTAGCTGGTAAAAACTGTGTCTTCCTGATTCTACTAGATTTAAGTGCCGCTTTTGACACAATCGACCAGGAGATTCTGCTCACACGTCTCAAATCGAGATTCGGAATTAACGGAGGTGCTCATGCGTGGTTCGAATCATATCTAAAATTAAGATGTCAAAAAGTATCAATACACGGCGTTTCGTCTCAACCAAAAGAATTAAAATACGGAGTACCGCAAGGCTCCGTATTGGGCCCATTGCTTTGCACAGCCTACACAGCTCCTCTTGGTGATGTCATTCGAGATCATGGATTAGACTACCAGTTGTACGCCGATGACACCCAACTCTATGTTGCTGTAAATGAACATTCTGAAACTGTGAAAATTACTATCCTAGAACAATGTATTTTAGATATTAAAGCCTGGATGAAAACCAATCTATTAAAACTGAATGACGACAAGACCGAAGTTATAAGATTTTCAACCCGCTTTAATAAACACAATTTAAAAACCAATGCAGTATGTGTTGGTAATAGTTCAATTGCATGTGTTGATACTGTAAAGAACTTGGGTGTTATATTCGACTCAAAGATGTCAATGAAAGCACAAATAACTGCAATGTGCAAATCCTGCAATTATCACCTGTATAATATTGGCAAAATTAGGTCCTTCATTGATTATGACACAACTAAACTACTTGTAAATGCCTTTATCACCTCAAAATTAGACTACTGTAATTCGTTGCTTTCTGGCCTTCCTTCTTCATATATCCAACCGTTACAGCTAATTCAAAATAAAGCTGCCCGAATAGTGTCCCGGACAAACAGGAGTATACATATAACACCAGTGCTCAAAGTCTTACATTGGCTTCCAATCCCATTCCGTATTGAGTTTAAAATATTATCATTGACATACCTCTGTTTAAACTGTGACAATGCTCCAAGATATCTTAAAGACCTAATTCAACCTTACAGGCCATCAAGATCTTTAAGATCAAGTGATCAAAATCTTTTGGAAATTCCAAAAGTCACTACCCTATTTGGACAAAGAGCCTTCTCATTTTCTGCCCCGATGCTGTGGAACAAACTTTCCCAACAAACCAAATCCAGCTCAAACTATGCAGTATTTAAGAAAAACCTTAAAACTGAACTTTTTAATCATGCTTATAAATAGTGTGTAAATAGTGTTTAAATTGCTTTATTCATGTAATGATTTTATTCGTATTTGCTAATTAACTTTTAAAACTTATATATATTTTAAATTTTGAGTAATTTTAAGCCTTGTGTGTTTTTTAAATAATTGTTTAAATCGTATATGTTTTTTAAAATAATTATAAATTTAATATATCTCAAATTTAAAATGTATTTTTAAAGTATTTATCTTGATGTAAAACCAGCGCAACTGAGCAGCTATACTAGCTGGAACGTGTGCGCTTTATAAATGTATTAAATTATAATTATTATTATTATAAATTATTATTAAATAAATTATTATTAATTATTAAAACTTGATATTTGAATCATTTGAAATATGGATTTAAAATAATCAATAGTGAAACACATGTTTTATATGATTTAGTTATGCGTCAAAGTTTAATTACTTCTCAACAGATTTGACAGGTTATATTTATTTAAATAATATTTTATTTATTTATATAATAAATACTCGATAACGATAATCACTTCCTTGGGTATAACATCCCACTTTTCTGCACCAACTGGGAGAATGACGACGGGTATATGCCACACAGTGTGTGCTACGGCCTTCTCTTAATTCGAGAGAGAGAGAGAGAGAGAGAGAGAGAGGGGTGGAGAGAGAGAGATTGGGTTTAACGTCCACTCAACACAAACTAGGTCATTTCGGGACTAACACATGGTTCAATTTTATTTCAATAATTCGCTTGCGCGTAGGGGTCTTTAGCAGTGGGAGGAAACCGGAGGACCCGGAGAAAACCAACGAGATTTGACAGGCGACCCTACTCCTTGTCACGTACAACCGGGGATTCGAAACCACGTCAGTAGACTCAATGCCGGGCCTTATGATACAGCACGCACGTGCTAACCATTCGGCCATCCACCCCCCCCCCTTAATTCGAATTCCAACTGTCAAGGGGTAACCGAACCGGAAAACCCCGGTGATCTTTCTCGGTCAACACCAGGATTAAACACGGGACCTCAGGGTTATTGAGCCAACATCTTACTCACTGAGCCAACAGGGATCCCAGATTGTGGATAGCTCTAAACTATAGGCTATGCTCAATGTTATCTTTGTAATGGAACAAAAGAAATGTCACGTAAAAGAACCTTGACAGTTGGAAATCGTAGATCGGGGTTTAGTTGCCAAATGGTCTAACGTTTTCGATTTGGATCATAAGGTCTGTCTTTGAAGAACCGTGTGATACCCATTTTGTACTTGTACTGAAGACATGCATAATATTATAAGGTGGATTCGGCGTTTATACCTTTTTGTGCTTGTACTGAGCTTTGCATGTAAGGTAGATTAACCTTATCTTTAATATATTATGAAACTTTCTGTCATTCAAGAAGGTGAAAAATGCCCCCTCCTTGATTATCACCCTATTCTAAAAGCCTTCTGCAAGTTCTGAACTGCTTTCCTCTAAAAATGTGCTTGGAGGAGAGTTACTTCCCTTTACACAACACTGACTCGACTGCCAGTGTTGTTTTGGGTATATATTCCAACACTAGTGGGTGCAATAAAACTTTTCATAATTAAATTTAGACCCATCGGGGTGCAACAAAAACAGATTATGGCATACTGCTTTGAGATCCATTCTAAAAAAAAATATTGCTGTCCCTCTAACTTGTTGGAAATCAGTTTTTGGGGAAGACATGTAAAGTGAGATAGATTAAACATGCATTATGCAAGAGCTAAATCTGCCTATTGTAGGTCTTTATTTAGGCCTGAAATGTTATATAAAGTATTAATTAGACATTTATTGACATGATCATCTCTTAATTGCGACCCTGTGGATTTTTTTTTCGGGCATCACAATTATATTTTTTTGTCAATTTTGGGGGGAAAGTTAAATTTCTGGTGTGAGGTTGAAAATCAGGTTGGCAAACAGTGGGATAAATAAGGCCATATTGGACCACTTTCAAGTTGCTAAAATTACAGCCTGGACTAGCAGGAATAAGGATTTGCGTGCGGCGGTCTCATTTTCTAAATTTTCCGCCATACCCCCCTTCGGCGTTCACCGACGACCTGAACTTTACGGGCATTTCATTTCGTAGTCAATGGGAATATTAATTGTGGTCTACATCCCGTTATTTAAATTATTTCCCTTGATAGTTCCAAGGTTAAGGCTGACAGCTGTCAATCAACCTATATTCCTGTATACGTAAAACAACTATGGGGGCCAAGCTCCTCCCCTACTTTGATCGAAACGGATAAAGTATCTATGCAATATTATAGGTGATCTAGGTGACCAATTTGCCACTAGTTTAATTTGACAAATTATATCTACCAGTTCAACT